TCTACTCGTGTTTATTACGCACAAAGTAAAATTTAGTACAAGCAACAAAATATTCCACAGTAATTTGCAGTAAAAGCAAAATCTTGTAATTGTTTCAAATAAATTTTGTTTATATGTTGTTTTATGAATAATAAATGTACATATATAAGTATATTCTATTAACAGAAACAAGACAATGGAAGAACAAATGGAAATTTTACCAGACAATGAATTGGATATCAATTTACCAGTTGTCTATGTCAAGCAACTTAAATGTGAGTTAGTGTTAAGAAATTTACAAACATATGTATACTTCTTGAAACATAACGGAATCATTGATACAGTTATGGGTTTAAAAACTCAATATTATTTTTTTTTTAATCCTTAACCCATTTTTTACGTACAGTATGGTCAAATAATGAAACCAAAAAACTAGTTAGCCTTTATAAAACACTTATACATGAAGTTGGAAATAGATTCACCTATAAAAAGCAAATGTGGGATGAAATTTCTACCCACTTTCCCGACAAAACACCACAACAATGTGAATCAAGATTATGCACCATGTTCAGAAGAAAAAAACTAGGTAAAGGTGGGCCAAAAGTATTTACAACAGAAAATGAAAGAAATAGCGATTATGAGGTGGAACCACATCTATATCGAATTCGCAAAAACATTCAATGTATGTACATACGTTAATAATAATACAAAAGAACTGAATATTTTATTTAAATTACAGTATGGTCCAATAGTGAAACAAAATTATTGGCAGAACTTTATAAAAAACTAATAGGCGAAGTTGGTCCGTTTAAAAGATTTCCAACAAAAAAAGATATGTGGGCTGAAATGTCCACACACTTTACCAATAAGAATCCCAAACAATGTGAATCACGATTTATGCGTCTGGTAAATACCAAACAAGCTGGAGTTGTTAAATTCGTTAGATACAAACCATCGGAGATCAGACGAATAAAGGCGAAAAATTCTTCAATGCAAATAAAAAGAATACATGCTATAAAAGAAGAAAAGCCTGTAGAGTATATAGAGGAAGATGATCCGCTTGGTAGCACGCAAGTGAAGGAGGAAGAGATTGTAAAAACGGTACAAAGTGAAAAAAGCATACAGGAGACATTGATGGAAATAGCTGCTAGAAAGGAAGAAACCAAAGAAAGACGCCATAGGGAAAAAGTTGGAGGCTTTTAAACAGATGCAAAATATACTGCAACAACTTCTAGATAGTAAAAACAATAAATAAATCTCTATATTTTCAGAAACTAATAAAATTCTTATGCAGATGATTGAGATATAGATAGATGATAGATAGATAGATAGATAGATAGATAGATAGATAGATAGTATAGATAGATAGATAGATAGATAGATAGATAGATAGATAGATGATAGATAGATAGATCGATAGATAGATAGTCCTAGATAGATCGATCGATAGATCGATGATAGCTAGCTAGATATATAGCATCGCTGCTCGCTAGCTCGATCGATAGTATCGCTCGCTCGCTCGCTCGCTCTCTCGCTCGCTCGCTCTCTCGCTCGCTTCGCTCCGCTCGCTCGCTCGCTCGCTCGCTCGCTCGCTCCTGATCGCTCGCTCGCTCGCTCGCTCGCTCGCTAGCTGCTCAGCTCGCTCGCTCGCTCGCTCGCTCGCTCTCGCTCGCTCGCTCGCTCTGCCTGTTGTCTCTCCCCCCCGTCTCCTGTTGCCCTCTTGCCTTTTCTCCCCCCTTTCTGTAATGCAATACAAACTGTGCTGCCACTTGTTTTACAAATTTTCTCCCTGCTGCTACTACTCAAATGTCAACTGTAAATGGTAAAAAGTTCATTTTGCAACCCCATTTCCTTTTTTACACTTTTGCACAGATAATGTGTTAAATAAAAACAATACTGCATTTACATAAAATATTAACAAACTGAAAAGCAAAAACATTAAAAGTTTTTGAAAAGTTTCGCCATTTCAACACATTCCCATTTTAATTGCACAAAATGGCAATGGAAATAAAAACTGAATACGAGACCGAAATTGGTCCCACACAAGTGGTTTTCGAAGTAGTTGATGTACCCAATACCACCAAGAAGATTGTTATATGGTCAGACATTGAAACACAACAGCTAATGGATCTTTATGAAAGTTTCAGTCCGCAAGTTGGTCCACAAATGAGATTTAAACACAAAAAAGATATGTGGACCGAAATTGCTACACACTTTCCAGGAAGACATAGTAAGCAGTGTGAAGAACGTTATAAGACCGTTCTTAAGAGAAAGAAAAAAGGTTTACTTGAGCCGGATGTTTTAGAAGCAGAGGAGTGGAATGAAAATCCCTTTAAAATTATTAAAAAACTTGAAATAGAAAGAGCAGCTGAGGAAGAAACAAAACCCTTTAGACAGGTTCACAGTAAGTTATTGTTATTAAGGTTGATTACTTGGAATTGATTGAAAATATGGCTTGTTCTGAAATACTGAAAATAACCTCAAATTTGAGAATGGTTTGAATTCATATTCTATTCTTATTTGATAACTTTATTCTCTAGTTAAAACGTGAAGTTAGATAGATAGATAGATAGATAGATAGATAGATAGATAGATAGATAGATAGATAGACAGATAGATAGATAGATAGATAGATAGATAGATAGATAGATAGATAGATAGATATAGATAGATAGATAGACAGATAGATAGATAGATAGATAGATAGATAGATAGATAGATAGATAGATAGATAGATAGATAGATAGATAGATAGATAGATAGATAGATAGATAGATAGATAGATAGATAGATAGATAGATAGATAGATAGATAGATAGATAGAATAGAATAGAAAGAATAACATAAAGCCATATATATAAAAATTTCAATTAATTGATCTTTATTTTATTAACGTACATTGATCTTTATTTTTTAACGTACATGTGCATAAAATTCTGCTTAAGTTTACACAAACCATTTTAGTGTGGACCAACAGTGAAACGAAGCTGCTTATGACTCTTCATAGGACCTTAATAAAGGAAGTGGGAAAAAGATTTACATTTTTAAAAGACATGTGGCGAGAAATAGCAACACATTTCCCGGCAAGCTACCAAATCAATGTGAACAGCGTTACAAAACTGTTCTAAGAGAAAAAAGAAAGGCATTTTCACAAAGGTCAGAAGAAAAACCAACGATTTTAAAAACAAAGATTATGTTGGAAATAGTATATGGAGAAACAATCGGATAACTAAAAGGCATATAAATAAAATTGTTAATGATACAGAGATGGAGGAGCTTATTACACTAGGAGAGGAAGTTATTAACGAACCAAATGCTGTGGAAATTATTAACGAACCGAAGACTACGGAAGTTATTACGGAGAATATTAGTGAAATGTATACTGAAATACCACGGCTCAGCACTACTAAGGAGCCTTTTAGACAAGAAAGAAAAGATCTTAGTTTACCGGAGATTTTGTGGGAAATAGCGGCAAAAAAGGAAGAAGCTAAGGAAAGGCGGCATAGAGAAAGAATGGAAGCTACTAAACAATTACAAAATATATTACAAAAAATTTTGAATTCAAAAAATATTTCATAGTAATAAAAATAAATACATACATAACTACTTGTTTTTATTAAAATTATAATAAATAATCAAAAAATTATTTTAACCATTAAGGGCAGTTTGTTTAGTTAAAGATTAAACATCAATAATAATCAAATTCATTAATATAAATGTCTATTAACGAATGTTAAACCTCTTTGTTGTTTTTGTTATGTATTGTCATACATATTAACGGAAAATTTCAAAACAATAGATGTTTTACAAAAATGTATTTAAATCAAGTTTTATTATTAAAAATAATATGTTTAAGTTCAAATCTTTTCATTAAACCTAAATCTGAAAGAAACTCATCATTTTTAATACTGCTCAAAGAACTAGCATAAAGTCTATCGGAAACATCGGTACAAATATCCTCATTATATGAATCGTCACGATCAATGCAGATATTGTGGACAATACAACAGCTAAAAATAAATTCGGACAATGTTTCGGCCGTTAGAAAATCTAAATATTTTAACTGTTGAAAACGACTGCGTAATAAACCAAATGCCTTTTTAATTTTAACATGTGTTCGAATTAGTTTTATGTTAAACATTTTCTCAGCCTCATCTAATTTACCATCATTATCGAATGGTATCATTAGATATTCTCTTATGGGACATTTTTCATCACCCAGCAAATGATAGTCGGACGAGCAGAATTCTGGTAAGTCTTTTTCCAAAAAGGTGTCTATTGTTTCGCGGGGTATGCCGGTTTTAGCATATAAAAATTTCGATTTTGCATCACATACTCCACGCAGGTTAACAATATAACCACCACAATCTTTGGCTAATTTTTGTAATTTGAAAGTAAAAAAACTTTCAGCAAAACAACCCAGTACATTGGGAAAACCAGCCACCTGTAAATAAGACTTTTAATATTAGTAATGTTTAGCGACAGCAGGCAACTACTAACCATTTCAAACTCTTTGGCAACGGCTTCTTTCTCTGGGTGGGTATTGGGAAACTTTATAATTTCCGGTCCCAATTCTTCTACTAGAAATTTTACGACTGTCTTAATGGATTTGTATATATGTGATAAGGATTGTTTAAATAATTTTGCAATAGTGCGAAAATTGGTCTTATTGGCAGAAAACCTGAAAAAATAAAAGTTATAATGTGAATTTTTAATATTTCCTTTAATATACACTTTACCATAGATAAGCTAACACATTGGTTTCCACTTTAGATTTTACATTACTTTCTAGATAAGTACTCTTGCAATGCCATAATGAATATTTCTCCATAAGATAAATAGCAGTTCCTCGACTTACATGGAAATTGTGTTTAAACTAAAAATATAAAATATACTACAATTAGCATAGAATTTTTAAAAACAACTACAACCGTCTAACATTTCTTTCTGAGATCATATTCATAACTTTATCTTCAAAGCTTAAAAAACGTCCTTCCTGAAAAGCTGCTTTAACTTCTTTGTCTAAGTTTGATTTTTCTGCTTCCAGCCGTTTTAAAACATGTTCTACAGCATTTTCTTTGTTTTTGGCCAATGATTGCGAATTAACAACTTCAACTGCATCTTCTTTGCAGTTTTCTGCCGTTGCTGTTACTTGAATTATTTCTTTTGTTTCAGCCACTTCATCATCATGAATTTCATTCATTATATTAGTAATTTTCTTAACGTTTGCTACAGTCACATCATTAACTATTGTTTGATTTTTTTCATTTGTCTCCTTTTGCTCCTTTGTATCACTTGAGTGTTCTTTTGGATTTGGCTTATCTAAATCCTTTAGTACAGCAAATATTTCGTCATCTTCGTCGGATGATGATGAGGATTCCATTAAATCTTCTATTAGTTTTTGAGCATATAGAATTGTGATCTGTTCCATTAGAGTAATTTTTTCTTTTAACAATTCAAGAAAACCTCTTAAAGACAAAACAAGTAAGAAATTATAGTTGGGCGAGGCCGACCATATAATACCCTACACCTTTGACAAAAATATAATGTGATTTAGTTGCCATAATAAAGCATTTAAGTTGAATTGTACCTTGCCTTAGATATACATACTTAGGCCGTTTATTGTTGAATAAAATTGTGGACATTTAAGTGAAATTTTGATGGGGACTTTTCATAGGGGCTAGGGTCATATGAGAACTTATTATTATGGAATTCGTGAGGGTCATCAAGTCTTGTATACAACGTGGTTTTTGCAGCTTTTTGTCGAGATATGAGTATATTAAACATAATTATGAACTTAAAAGCCCTATTCGGCGGGTTCAGTTGTATGGGGGCTAGGTGAAATAATGGACGGATGTAAACCATTTTCAACAGGCTTTGTCTACCATAAAATATCATGTACCAAATTTCATTGAATTATCTTCAAAATTGCGACCTGTAGTTTGATTACAAGATTTACATGGACGGACAGACGGACATAGCTAAATCGACTCAGAAAATGATTCTGAGCCAATTGGTATACTTTAAGGTGGGTATAGAACCAATATTATTGTGCGTTACAAACATCAGCACAAACCCAATATACCCTCCCCACTAAAGTGGTGTAGGTTATAAATATAAAACCAATTAATGTCAGCTGTTTTTCAGTGCAAAAAAATTTACTTTTGTGGGCAAACATTTACATTTATGGCAACATTTTTGTAAACATGATTTAAGAGGTAGTTTTTAACTTTTAGCTTAAATTCAAGATTAGTTAATCTCAATGAAAATTTAATTTAGTCTAAAGCAAGGCGAATAGACTATAAGGTGAAGTCATTTCATTTTGCGGGCGAATTCATGAAATTTTTTATATATGTAGTTTGACAGCGTCGGGTTTGAGAGAGAATTTTTTTTATATTGACAACTTCGGGCTAAATTTCCATGGACAAAAAACAATCAGCTGTTGAAATGACTTCACCTTATTAGTTTCGCCATGGTCTAAAGTTTAACCCATGTATATTGGCTAACAAAATAATCAAGAAGTCATAAGATTTAAGGATTAATTTTAATTAAAACGTTACTCTTCACGATAAAAAATGGTTTTTAAATAAGTTAATTTGGTTTGCGTTCGGGTTATTTTTTATTTTTTAATTTTAATTCATGAATTAATGAAAGTTTTTTTTTGATAATTCCGAATTCTGTTATTTCACTTGTCAACAATTAACAGTTGCATTTGTTTGTATTATGTATCAACATTTTGTAAAGTGTGGCAGCTCTATTATACTAAACATATGTTTGTATGTTTTGGTTTCAACATTTTGTTTGGTGAAAAATTCTTAACAAATTTAAGTTTTTTTATTTTCAAAAAAAGCTAAATATTTTCTTATAATTTCAACAAATAAGTTTGAAGTTCATTAGTTCGTTTTATTCGAGGATTTGCTATAACCGAGTTCTTTATGTATGAAAGTAGGTACCAAAATATCCGAATTTCAAATATTCTTCGTAATAACCGGGATCGATTGTAATTAGGTTGTTTGAAAGGAAGATGTATGTATGTGTGGAAATCGAACCCACAACATCCGACTTGTTCAAATTTTTAAGTTGCCGACTTTTAAATTTTTAAAATTTTACACTTGTTCAATATGTAATCCCACGATTTTTACTATTTTAAAGAAATTAAGAAGTATTTAAAAAAATAAAATGGAATATGAAATCGTGGATGCTAGTGAAATTTTCATTGATGAAGGGTAAAATGAAATGGAATATGAAACTGTAGATATCCATATACCTTGCAAGAAAATTCAAAGTATTTATATTAATATAAAAGTACTACCCCGTCATATTCTGTTCTCAACGAAATTGGAATTTATAAAAAAATTTCCCAGAACATTTCCAGTATGGTCGGGCATTGAAACTAAGCAGTTAATGGAACCACATACATATATTAAAGTTTAATAGAGGATGTTGGTCCTGAAAAACGTTTTCTTCCTAAAAAAAGAAATGTGGGCTGAAATTTCTAAATATTTCAAAACTAAAGGACCGAAACAATGTGGACAACGTTACAATACAATGCTCAAGCGAAAAAAGACTCGCCAAAGTTTATATATCCGAAAACTATAGACTGTTCACAAAATACTTTTGAAATCAATAGAACAGAAAAAAGACGAGATACAATTTTAGTAAAGAAAGTGTTGAATATAACGGAGATCTTGCTGCAGATATCGGCACAGAAGGAAGAAGCCAAAGAAAGACGTCGTAGGGAAAAGATGGAAATTATTAAAGATATGCGAAATTTATTACAACAAATTGTGGATAGTAAAACAAATAAATTATAAATAAAGATTATAAAAATATTAAATAAAATGTACCTTTGAAGAATATTAAATAAAATATTTCGAAAATCTATTGAACAATGAATTATTGTATTTAAATTACTTTAAAATCTTTTAGAGACATACATACAAATATATAGTATACTTAAATAGAAAATTAAAACAAATTAAAATTATTCGAGATTAATCGAGTTGTAATACTATGAGAAAGAAAAATGTGAATGCATTATCATTTGCATTGTGTTAGTGAATTATATTAAAATACTTTTTGTAAAAACTTGGAACATTACTTTATAATACAATATGGTTTATAGTCTAACCTATAGTCTGGGCTATAGACTAGTCTGGTCTACAGTCAAGACTATAGATTAGTGTAGTTTACAGTCAAGACTATAGTCTGGATTATAGTATAGTCTTGTTTATAATATGGACTATAGTTTAGTCTATAGTCTGGACTATAGTTTAGTCTATAGTCTGGACTATAGTTTAGTCTATAGTCTGGACTATAGTTTATTCTATAGTCTGGACTATAGTCTATTGTCTGGACTATAGTCTAGTCTATAGTCTGGACTATAGTCTAGTCTAAGTCTGGACTATAGTCTAGTCTATAGTCTGGACTATAGTCTAGTCTATAGTCTGGACTATAGTCTAGTCTATAGTCTGGACTATAGTATAGTCCTATAGTCTGGACTATAGTTTAGTGGACTATAGTTTAGTTTATAGTCTGGACTATAGTATAGACTATAGTCTGGACTAAAGTATAGTCCATAGTCTGGACAATAGTTTAGTCTATAGGGTGGACTATAGTTTAGTATATAGTCTGGACTAAAGTTTAGTCTATAAACTATATACTAGACTATAGTCTATAGTCTGGACTGTAGATTAGTCTATAGTCTAGACTATAGATTAGTCTATAATCTGGACTATAGAGTAGTATATAGTCTGGACTATAGAGTAGTCTATAGTCTGGACTGTAGATTTGTCTATAGTCTAGACTATAGAGTAGTCTATAGTCTGGACTATAGAGTAGTATATAGTCTGGACTATAGAGTACTCTATAGTCTGGATTATAGAGCATTCTATAGTCTGGACTATAGAGTAGTCTATAGTCTGGACTATAGAGTACTCTATAGTCTGGATTATAGAGCATTCTATAGTCTGGACTATAGAGTAGTATATAGTCTGGACTATAGAGTGGTCTGAACTATAGTTTGGACTATAGTCTAAAGTTTGGACTATATACTAGTCTATAGCCTTTCATATTACAAAACAAAATAATGAACCTTTCAAACACATACTACTTCAAAATGTGTAATGTAATTATTTAATCCTTATATGACGACTGGTCTGATTATGCCGGCACAACTGTCGATGTGTTGCAAATTTCTTATCGCATTTATCGCAAGCAAACTGTTTCTCAGCATGAACATCCCGTAAATGCTTTTGTAGATTATCTTTACGTTTGAATGATTTTAAGCATAAATGGCAAGTAAAGGGTCTGTCATCTGTGTGCGTCAACATATGACGTATAAGATTACGTTGCAATTTAAATTCCAACAGACATTCGACACAATGAAACATGTTCGTTTGGGGATTGCGTTGATATTTATTATTGAAGCCTGTATTGGGCTTGACGGCATCAATTTTGGGTATTTTTGTGGCTGGAAATGTATACTGACGATCATAGTCGTCGGAATTCATCATATACTCATCATCATCATCGTCATCTTCGGGTACTATAGTTTCCGGTTCATTTCTGTTGTCGTCTATATCATCATAGCTATAGGCGTCGAATATGTCATTGGGTTCCTCTGCGTTGGGAATAAAGATAAAAATGAAATATAGTTGATTTCAGAGAGCATCAGAAACTATTTGAAAAAAAACTTTTCTTTGATATACATATTATTTTTGTAAATAATTTGGTAAGCGAGAGAAAATGTTTTATAATAGAGTCATTTATGAACCGATTTATTTATTTTATTTATGGGTTTTTGTAATGTAGTCAGCACTGTAGTCTAGTGTATAGTTTGCACATAGTCTAGTGTATAGTTTGGCCAAAGTCTAGTCTATAATATAGTCTGGACTATAGTATAGTCTATAGTTTGGACTATAGTATAGTCTATAGTCTGTACTATAATGTAGTCTAGACTATAAAGTAGTTCCTTATAGTATTGTCTAGAGTCTGAATGTTAGTATAGTCTATAGTCTGTACGCCTTCCATTTAAATTTTGTTGTCAATTATTGAAATAAGAATCCATTTTCAACGCTTTCGTAACAGAAACACTTTTCGCGAAAAAATGCCAATTGACATTTAGACAAATTTTTAGAGTTCTAGAGTTCATATAACATTTCCACTTTAAGAATATTAAAAAAACACGTTTTATGTTTTATTTTAAATAGTTTACAATTATTTAGTTGTATATTTTTTCTTTTATTGATTAAATAATTGCTGTAAATATAAAATCATAATATACTAAAATCCTAAGGATTATTTTCGAATAATTATTATAAAAAAAAAACAATAATTAAATTAACATTACATTTGTTGCGTTGAAGGATGTGCTAATGGAAGAGGTGGCAATGACGATGACGACGTTGCACTTGTAGATGAAATATCAATGGGGGGAGATGTTGGTGCGCTGCCAACTGTTGGTGGGATGAAATGATGACCTAAATACAAAGGCGGTGGCGTTACAGTACTATCTATATGAGGAGAAGACAACGACGCATGCGACTGTTCTAGTTGTGCAGGGGCTAATTGTTGTGTGGCGGGTGTTGGTACTACAGCCGCTGGTGTTTGATCAAGTTGCTCTCCTCCCTCTATAGGTTGTTCTGTTTTACGTAAACGCCCCGTAAATGAGGTTACAATAATACCATGTACAGTTCTTAAATGAGCATTTAAACCATAACGTTGCAAAAAGGCTGCACTGCACATATCACAACGAAAACGTTCTCCTGTATGACGCCGTATATGAGCTTTCAGGTCATTACTTTGAGCAAACGCCTGAGGACATTGATTACATTTATAGGGTTTTTCACCGGTATGGGTGCGCATGTGTATGGTTAGATTGTAGGGACGATGAAAACCTTTGCCACATAAATTACACAGATTAGGTTTGTGGCCTATATGATATCTAAAAATAGTAGGAGAGTTAAATCTAACAAAAGAAATTTTTAAGGAAATCACACTAACCTTTCATGCATTTTCAAATCGGTGCTCCGAGGAAAACCTTTTTCACAAAAACGACATTTATAAGGCTTTTCTCCGGTATGACGACGCATGTGTATTTTAAGATATTCATTACGCTGAAATGAGTCTCCACAGATATTGCACAGGAAATTACGCGGCTGGGCATGTTTTTTCTTTTGATGCTCCTTCATTTGTTCCTTTTCGGTGAACGTTTCCGAACAATGTTTGCAAGCATACAGGCGATCGGTGTGCAACAATTTATGTTTTGCCAAATAGGCCTTGGTGGTAAACTTTTTCTCACACATATCACAATCGAATTGAGGCTTTTGTATGGTGGGGTCTTTATTGTGACGCGTTTCTATGTGCCTTTGCAAATGATCCTTGCGTCCATAAGCACTCGAACACTGATCACATTTATAATTCTTTTCACAATGTATACTCTGTATATGTTTTTGCAAATGATCCGAACGTGAAAATCCTTTGCCACAGAAATTACAAACATGGGGCTTTTCATCACTGTGTGTGAGCATATGGCGTAGAAGATGATTATAGCGGGTAAAGGTGCGATTACATTCCTTACAACGATTATCTTCATTTTTAGAGGAACCATGTCGTCGCCTGGGTTGTTTTGTATTGGCCTTAAGTTTAGTTTTAAGCTTGTCCTGTGAACTAGTAGCTAATTCTGGTTTTTCATTACCCTGATCCTGTTTAACAGAAGTCACTAAGTCGTTTTTAGGCGGCTTTTTTGTGGGTTCGAAATTGTCATCCTGATCATCATCATCACTGCTATGTTGGTAGTCTTCATCTGTATCTTCGTCACTTGTATTATTACTATGTTGCTCTTGAAAAGATGTATTGAGATTATCTAAATCCTCTTCTTCCTCCTCCTCCTCTTCAGCATTTTCTTTTATTTCCATATTATCCTCTGCTAATTCTGGCTTTAATGCAGTTTCAAATGAACTATTGGTGCTCTTTGATAGTTTTTTCATGTTTAGTAACGCTGGTGGAAATATTGTCAGTGTAATCGGGATTTTCAACTGTAATTAAGGAATATTTTAGAAAAATAATGAACTTTAATTGAGATTTATTCAAAATTTATTATACGAACCAATAAATTTTTTCTTCATTTGCTTTTTTATATTTTGTAAGCTTTTTTGGTTTTTTGAAATTAGCACTTAATTGTTAACAAAAAAAATTTAAAGTTTCTGTTACGAAAGATGTTCTTTAATACCCCCAATTAGAATTATTAGTTACATGCCTATTAGTTGTTTAGTTTATTTATACTTTAAGGAAGCTTGACTTACCTTTGATGGATATTTCTGGATGGGCTATAGTTTCTACAAATTGCTTAACATCTTCTTCATCCATATCATTGAAATTGTGATGCTCAAGGCCTTCATCTTCACTTGAGAAAGGATTTGTAGCGGCCATGGTTTCATTTGGAGCAGTAGCTTCGTTGTCATCATCCTCTTGATAATCGGGCCAATGACTGCTGTAGTTATTTAAACTAGCAGATAGTTGAGGAGGATTTTCAATTTCCGGTTCATCCAGAGATACTTTGGAACTTTTTATAAAGGATAGAGAAAAGTTTGTTAATATTAGTTTACATGTTTTATCATATAATGTTTCTATTAGAGAATCAATAATTCCACGTATGTCAGTCTCTGTCCATGTAAACTTTGTAGCCAAACCAATAGTTTTCAAATTTGGGAAAACAACTCAACTTTTTTTTCTCAAATAGGTATAATTGTTTTTTTACTTACATATTTAATTTATCATCTTCGATCTTGTGTACCCGTATTAAATGCCTTTTTAAATGGTCCTTGCGTGTAAATTCCCTCGAGCATATATTACACTTAAAATCACAACGTATACCCTCGCTGGGATGCTCTGTAGACAAATGGACCTTCAGTTGACCTAAATGATTAAAGGTCTCACCACAAACACGACATTTTTTGGCATCATTTACATGGATGGTGGCACGATGTTGCCTTAATTCTGATTCAACGAAAAACTTTTTCGGGCAACACTCACACTGAAACACTGTGCTTTTTTCAGTTTGTGTATACTTGTCTGTGGTGAGGGCACTCACCCTCACCGTTGCTGCCGCCGCACTTCTAATACAACCACTACCCTTCTCCTGTTTGGGAATCCATGTTATATCATACAACGCCTTTAGCTGGCAGTAGGCCTCCTCTGTTTGACTTTTAAATTGGTGGGCGTTACGGGCGGCTTCCATACAGCCATTGCATATTTGTGCTGGTAGCTGGTCATTGTGTGTCACTGGATATTTTGTACACTCGGTAATTATCTGAGCTATAGTGGTGGTTCTGTTGCCAAGGAATATTTCTTTAAATATGGGATATAAGTTGCCACCATCCTGCATGCAAATACGGCAAATGTTATTTTTATTATAATTTTGCGAGTTATAAATTATTTCCATATTTTTAAATTAATAATAACTTTTTTTAAATTTAAAACATTTTTTTGTTGTAAAAAACTAAAAATTATTGATTTTGTTTACAAGAGAAAAATAGCTTTATAGACCTGCGCCGGCAAACATTAATGACGGCGTCAGTAGCTGACACTAACAATTTCGGCGGTGGTTGTAAGCCGGCAAAGCTGTGTTTTTCAAATTTTTCTACGATATTAAATAAAAACAACACAAAGTATACCCTGTGACAATGTTGTCAGTCTGGATAAAATAAATTAGTTTTTAAATTGAAATATATTAATTTTATAATGTAAAATTCTATAAATTTAAGGAAAGTGTTCAGCAAATTAAATAAAATATTGCGACGACAAATTTTAATTTTTAGGCGGCTAAGCTAACTTTGTAAATAATGCTTCATCTTTTTTGAGCGACAAAAAATAATCACTGTGAAATGTTAGCAACAACAATTACAAAATAAACACAGCCCTTGTCAAAATGTCAACAAATACTTTGTTTATTTTTTGTTTTTGCCTTATTTTTAAAGAATTTTCGGTATATTGTTGGAAAATCAAATTAAATTTATAAAATATTAAAATAATTTAAGAAAAATGTCTTCAGTGTTAATAGTAGATGTGAAGAAAATATGTCGTGTTTGTTTGGGCAGTGAATTGGAAATGGTATCTTTGTTTCAAACACAGCAAAGTCCTACAATTGCTGAAATGTTAAGTGAACTAATAATTTACAAGGTAATTACTGTAAGGATGTAGGAGACACGGCTATCATTAGAATATGGAAATGGTCAAAATGATTTCCTTAAGCCAACATTGTATTTGGCCTGTATTTTAATTGAATTTTACTTAAAAAAGTTTTTTTTAACTCAAACCTAACAGATTTTACTTTTCAGATTCAACACTTTAATGAATTGCCACATTTGATATGTTCCGAATGTGTAAATTTAGTTGTTAGTGCTTATAAATTAAAAGAAAAATGTGAAAAATCCGAGAGAACTTTATTAGCCTTGCTTGATAATCCACTTAAAGGTATATGTTTAAATAAAAATACCCAAGAAAAAGGAACTCAAACACAAATAGAAGAAAAGCTTTTGTATCCTTGTCAGTATTGTGATGAAAAGTTCATAAATTTAGATGGTCTGGAGGTGAGTCTTTAAATAAACTGTTCTTTTAAATTTAAAATATAGAAAATTTTGTATTTTTTTTAGCTTCATGCTGAAAACATACATACAAATAGTTCAAACACTTGTCGCTGTTGTTCACGTTCCTTTAAAAGCATATCAGACTTAAAAAATCATTTAACTGTATTTCATCCTGAAATAGATTGCAAAAATTATAACGAATGTCATATTTGTAAACGTCAATTTACACGGGCGGCCCATTTAATAAGACATATACAAAGTAAACATAAATTTTTCAAAGTTGAAATTGAATCATTGGATGAACAGGAAGTTTCAGTCATATCTCTAGAAGAGGAAACAAATAACAAAGAGGAAAGTACTAATGAAAGTAGAGACAAATGTGAAACATTAAAATTAGTTAAAGTGGACGATGTTGAACATTTTACAGATGATGAAAATGAAATGCCCTTAAAGTTGTTATTGGAATCTTCAAATACTTCCGAAATAATAGAAGGTAATGGAGATTTTTAAATTATTTTAAGCATCCTGATTTTAAGGTTATAAATATTTTTTAAATTTTAGATGTTTTTAATACATCTTTAGATGAAATTGCTGAAATTTCATTGGATTCACAAAATTCTATTAATACAGAAGAAACAAATGTTGCAAAAAATAATTTACCGCCAGCTAAACGTAACAGAGGTAGACCAAAAATCCATCTAAAACTGAAGGTACATATTTTATTCTAAAATAAAAAAATATATGTATCACAATAAAATATTTAAGTTTTAGCGGTTCCAGGCAATACTTTAGAAGAGGGTGTGTCCTATAACAATTTGTCTAAAAATTCTACCGGTACTATACAAGAAACTAAACGTGGCCCTGGCAGACCATCAAGAAAAGTTGTAAATTGCAAATATTGTTCGGAATACTTTAAAAGTGCTAAAATGTTACATCAACATATTGCAGAAAACCATATTACAACAATGAATTTTTCGTGTAAAATCTGCAATGAAAATTTTTCTTCGAAAAAAGATTTGATTCTTCATTTATCCAATTATCACAAAAAAACTCGTCGTCTAACAAGTTTTATGAGTAAAAAGAAAAATTTGCAAAATTTCTTTTATTGTACGAAATGTGATAAGAATTTTAGCACTAAGAACACTTTACAAAAACACCAGGAGAATCATGATAAAAAACGGTACGTTTGCAAAGAATGTCTACAAGATTTTCCCAATAAGGAAGAGTTAAATGCGCATACTAAGACAGAAGGACATGATAAACCCTTACTGTGTCCAGAATGTGGTTTGCGATGTAAAAGTAGTAATATTTTGACTGTACATTTGAGACGGCATACTGGTGAGAAACCATTTAAGTGTAAATTTTGTAGTAAAGGATTTCCGCGCATGGATGATTTGAAAATACATGAAAAGTAAGTTATAATTTGACAGATCTATTATGATATCTGGAAAGTACATTTTTTAATTATTCTAAAATATAACCCCCAAAAAACATAACATAACCTCAAAAATACTAAAACTAAGAATTTTGTTAAAATTTTTATGTAAAATAATAAATGTAAAAAAAAAAATATCACTACAATCTAACAAAAAAACATACATATTTTAAAATTATTTCAATAATCAAATGAATTGTTTGTTTCTATCCATTACAGATATCACACTGGTGAAAAGTCACACTTTTGTGAGACTTGTGGCAAAGGATTCTTTCGCAAATATAATCTACGTATACATCTACGTGTCCACACTGGCGAGAAGCCTCACAAATGTCCCCACTGCCCGCAGGCCTTTGCCCAAAGTAATGATTTAAAGGCTCATATCCGCCGTCATACGGGTGAACGTTTTCGTTGTGAAGTATGTAATGCAGGATTTTTACAAGGTTATCAAATACGTCAACATAAATTGCAAGAGCATGGCATACACGAAATACCACCAACACAAAGATTGCAAAAATTTATGTCACCCCAAGAACAAGAGGAACAAATAAAACAAAACTTGCAAACGGGTTTGGAATAAGTTGGATTTGAAAATGAAGGTAATTTGTTATTCTGTTGCAATGAAGTAGTAATTGTTAGTTTTTTTCGTTAATTTGGCTAAATGATGACCAAAATCAAAATAAAAAACTCAGCAATACTTCCTCTTTAGGCATACGTAATTTTATTCATAGCGATACTGCATTAGCAATTCAAAAATGTTATTATTTTCAAATTTTTCGCATACCCAAGGAACCATACTTTAAGACATAGGAAGTTTTTTAAGTTTGAAAATAAAAACGAAAAACTCAGCAACACTTCCTCTAAAGACATACGAAATTTTATTGAAATCAAACTAACCGTTATGAAATATTAGCTTTATTTCCTTTTTTCGAAAAGTAAGTAAAACGCACCAATTTGACGGCGTTGATTTTCAAAATTCATCGGCGACTAGTCTTAAACGTCAAAAAAATCATTCGCCTTAGATGTCTGCTTGACACACTCTGTTTTGACATTTAATTTACTAGAACTAAGCACTTGTTATTTAATTGGTTAAAAAAATACGAAAATTATTAAATTTATAAATTAAATCGCTAAACTTACTAAAACAACTACTTCGAAATGTCTTATTTACTGCAAAATATAAAGACATCCAGCGTGGTACAAGCCGTTAAAGCCATACGCTTCAATCAAACACATCAGTCCCAACACTTACATACGACACCGGTGTGCAATGAAATACGCAAATTGGCCCGTTTGCGTGTGGTGGACAACAGTGATATAGGCAAAAGAGCCATGGCCGAAGGGCGTCCACCACGTTGTATACACGTCTATAATAAACGTGGTATTGGTCTAATAGGTGATAAAGTCTTGGTGGCCATTAAGGGCCAGATGAAGAAGGGCATTCTAGTGGGCTTGAAGCAAAAACAAAGGCCTAAGATTCCTAAATTCGACAGCAATAATTTGGTTTTGATCGACGATAATGGCACGCCATTGGGCACTAGAATACATGTACCCGTACCAACTATTTTGAGGACAGTACTTAAGGAGAAAACCCAGGCTAAGGGTGCTGACTACACTAAAGTCTTGGCCATAGCAAGTAGATTTATTTAAAAAAGTTCTTTAAAAAAATTGTGTTTGAATAAAATTTATTGTTAAAACTGAAAAAAGCTACAAAGTTTGACGTTTACGATCTTGTTCGGGTGAATCCTCATTAGCATCGCTGTTTCGCTCACGTTTGCGTTTCTTGGTATGCTCTTGCACCATTTCGGAAACTGCTATATTGTTGGATTTCATTTGCAGCCAATTGGTGAACTAAAATATAAAAAAAATAGATAAATCTAATACTAATTTAAAATACTTAAAACTTACCAATGTGTTGGTTTTCACTCCCGCATCATAGAGTTTGTTTTCTATGTCATCTAAACGATGTTCAGGTTTACCACTTTCCGTCGTATTTTTGGATATATCCAGCAAATGTCTTACTCTTTGACGCATGGTTTCAAATACAATTTTACCCACCACATGATTACGATCGTAGGGTGTTAAATAGCGTCCATACTCATAGAAATACGGATGTAATTTACCCAATTCTATGTGTGTAGTTTCTGCTTCACACACTGCCTTGTGTACATTTTTATAGATATCCGGAACATTGACCGTAAAATAGGGATTATTAACTTTCAATTCCTTAATATACCACAAAGGCAAATTAATATTGCGACCAGGATTAAGATCTTCAGTTTCGGCGCCCGCGTCCAGGAAACCTTAAAATAGAAAAATTATAATTTTTATTGATTTTTAAGGGAATTTCTCCATTTACCCATTTTTAAAAGTTTTGCATTAACTTTACACTCTACTTTTTCTTGTGTAACGAATAAATCTTCAACCGCATAATAATTGGGAAAATAACTTTGAGAATTCATGTTGGGAAGATTATTTTTCTTTTTTAATTTCTTTTAAAACTTAATTAACACAATATAAAAATAAAGGCGCTAAATTATTTCGAACAGCTGTATTTTGTTTTGGTTAAGTGCCAAAGCGAACCTTTAAAAGATGATCTCAGTAATGAATTTAGGCCAAACTTCTTATTTTTTATATTTGGAGTTTGACAGCTTTGGTTGGAAGAACAATTTTTCCATATGGTATTTGACAGTAATAGCATACATACACTGTTCAAGTGAGGCAAACCTTTTATGTATTTACTTGAATGAAAGACATACACTATAAGTAATGCCAAGTTTTTTTGTATCTGTAAAGTTTTTAATTTGGCATCACTTATAATATTAAATTTTACTAACAACTATCTTCTGTATATGTTAGGCAGCCATAACAGTTATGCATAACGGAACTTAAACAAATTCTATTCCGCATTTAAATTAAATTCACGTACAATATTAGAAACAGAACCGATATTGCCACAGATACACATAGCCGATTAGTACTATTTGTTATACCCTGTACATCTATTGTTGGGAGGGTAATATGGTTTTGAGGTGGTTATGCTAGGCATAGAAATATTGGTTCCACCCATACCTTTAAGTATATAGTATATATACTAATATATAGAATCATTTTCTGAATCGATTCAGCGATGTTTGTCTGTCCATTCATATAAACCTTGCAATCAAGCCACAGGTCGCAATTTAACATTTTTTTTATCCAAGAACGGTACCTACTGAAAATTATTATAATGGATACATTAATTTACCTATCCCCCATATAACCTTAATGCCCGCATGGATCAACGAAAAAGTTGACATTGTTGGGATTATTTTAAATTCGATTTATAGAACCCTACTTAGTTAGTTTGTTTGTTAGTTAGTTAGTTAGTTAGTTAGTTAGTCAGTCAGTTAGTTAGTTAGTTAGTTAGTTAGTTAGTTAGTCAGTTAGTTAGTTAGTTAGTTAGTTAGTTAGTTAGTCAGTTAGTTAGTTAGTTAGTTAGTTAGTTAGTTAGTTAGTTAGTTAGTTAGTTAGTTAGTTAGTTAGTTAGTTAGTTAGTAGTTAGTTAGTTAGTTAGTTAGTTAGTTAGTTAGTTAGTTAGTTAGTAGTTAGTTAGTTAGTAGTTAGTTAGTTAGTTAGTTAGTTAGTTAGTTAGTTAGTTAGTTAGTTAGTTAGTTAGTTAGTTAGTTAGTAGTTTAGTTAGTTAGTTAGTTAGTTAGTTAGTTAGTTAGTTAGTTAGTTAGTTAGTTAGTTAGTTAGTTAGTTAGTTAGTTAGTAGTTAGTTAGTTAGTTAGTTAGTTAGTTAGTTAGTTAGTTAGTTAGTTAGTTAGTTAGTTAGTTAGTTAGTTAGTTAGTTAGTTAGTTAGTTAGTAGTTAGTTAGTTAGTTAGTTAGTTAGTTAGTTAGTTAGTTAGTTAGTTAGTTAGTTAGTTAGTTAGTTAGTTAGTTAGTTAGTTAGTTAGTTAGTTAGTTAGTTAGTTAGTTAGTAGTTAGTTAGTTAGTTAGTTAGTTAGTTAGTTAGTTAGTTAGTTAGTTAGTTAGTTAGTAGTTAGTTAGTTAGTTAGTTAGTTAGTTAGTTAGTTAGTTAGTTAGTTAGTTAGTTAGTTAGTAGTTAGTTAGTTAGTTAGTTAGTTAGTTAGTTAGTTAGTTAGTTAGTTAGTTAGTTAGTTAGTTAGTTAGTTAGTTAGTTAGTTAGTTAGTTAGTTAGTTAGTTAGTTAGTTAGTTAGTTAGTTAGTTAGTTAGTTAGTTAGTTAGTTAGTTAGTTAGTTAGTTAGTTAGTTAGTTAGTTAGTTAGTTAGTTAGTTAGTTAGTTAGTTAGTTAGTTAGTTAGTTAGTTAGTTAGTTAGTTAGTTAGTTAGTTAGTTAGTTAGTTAGTTAGTTAGTTAGTTAGTTAGTTAGTTAGTTAGTTAGTTAGTTAGTTAGTTAGTTAGTTAGTAGTTAGTTAGTTAGTTAGTTAGTAGTTAGTTAGTTAGTTAGTTAGTTAGTTAGTTAGTTAGTAGTTAGTTAGTTAGTTAGTTAGTTAGTTAGTTAGTTAGTTAGTTAGTTAGTTAGTTAGTTAGTTAGTTAGTTAGTTAGTTAGTTAGTTAGTTAGTTAGTTAGTTAGTTAGTTAGTTAGTTAGTTAGTTAGTTAGTTAGTTAGTTAGTTAGTTAGTTAGTTAGTTAGTTAGTTAGTTAGTTAGTTAGTTAGTTAGTTAGTTAGTTAGTTAGTTAGTTAGTTAGTTAGTTAGTTAGTTAGTTAGTTAGTTAGTTAGTTAGTTAGTTAGTTAGTTAGTTAGTTAGTTAGTTAGTTAGTTAGTTAGTTAGTTAGTTAGTTAGTTAGTTAGTTAGTTAGTTAGTTAGTTAGTTAGTTAGTTAGTTAGTTAGTTAGTTAGTTAGTTAGTTAGTTAGTTAGTAGTTAGTTAGTTAGTTAGTTAGTTAGTTAGTAGTTAGTTAGTTAGTTAGTTAGTTAGTTAGTTAGTTAGTTAGTTAGTTAGTTAGTTAGTTAGTAGTTAGTTAGTTAGTTAGTTAGTTAGTTAGTTAGTTAGTTAGTTAGTTAGTTAGTTAGTTAGTTAGTTAGTTAGTTAGTAGTTAGTTAGTTAGTAGTTAGTTAGTTAGTTAGTTAGTTAGTTAGTTAGTTAGTTAGTTAGTTAGTTAGTTAGTTAGTTAGTTAGTTAGTTAGTTAGTTAGTTAGTTAGTTAGTTAGTTAGTAGTTAGTTAGTTAGTTAGTTAGTTAGTTAGTTAGTTAGTTAGTTAGTTAGTTAGTTAGTTAGTTAGTTAGTTAGTTAGTTAGTTAGTTAGTTAGTTAGTTAGTTAGTTAGTTAGTTAGTAGTTAGTTAGTTAGTTAGTTAGTTAGTTAGTTAGTTAGTTAGTTAGTTAGTTAGTTAGTTAGTTAGTTAGTTAGTTAGTTAGTTAGTTAGTTAGTTTGAAAGGAGGATGTATATACATCAAATCCGAAGAAATACACCTAGGCCTCTATCGGGCCTGTTGTGCGCTCCTTAACCAGTGCCTCAGGTGGGAATCGGACCCACCACCTTCGGTCTACCAGACTAGAACACTAACCACTAACCTACCGGAGGCCACTAGTTAGTTAGTTAGCTATTTCGTTAATTAGTGCCCATTAAAACCAACTTTTAACGGGGTCTTGGATAAACCTTTTCACATTTAATCCATTTTTTTAAAGGCAAGGGAATTAATTGTCTTGTTTTGCCTTTTTAGAGTTGCCAATTATTACATGCAATAAAATGTTACCATATGTCTAAAACAGGAAAATTTTTGTAAAGCTTTGTAAGTCGACAAAGTTATTTGAAAAACATTTAATTTTGAAAAGGATTCATTGTTAATCCTTTTTGTTTACATTTCAAAGGTTTCACACAAAATATTTTTATTGTAATGAAACACCAAAACAACCCTTAAAAAAAATTTTGGCTCTTTTTTGAAAAGTGGGGGTTGATTTCTAATGTGTAGGTGTTAAATTAAAACTTTGTTTTCTCATTCGTTAATAATACGCATATAACAGTTGCTAAGTTAAAGGCGAAACAGAAACTAAAGAGAAGGAGAAGAGAGAAAAGAAGAAAACAACAAAACAAAAACAAAAATTAGGTAATCATCAGGCATAAACAAAAAACACATGTTTTCGAAAATCTATTCACTTCCGTTAAAGCTTTTTCCTTCTTCTGCAAACAACTGACAACTGCAGAAGTAAAAAAAGCTTTTTCTCTCATAATATTACGAAAATGACAAAAAAATATGTAAATGTCCTGTATAACAAAACAGGCCTTAGACAAATGAAATCAGTACGGTTTTAGCAAAGCTACCAGCTGGTCGGAAATTAATATAAAAAAAAATAAACACAAATATAGCTCTAGTAGTGTATCAAAGTGGAAAAAAATATATAATAAATTAATAAGTGAGAGATAATTAAATTTAAATTAATTTGTTTAAACTAAATAAATTACATTAAACTAAATTTAAACAATAAATAATACAAAACCCCCCTACAATATTCGATACTTTCCTTTAACTTTCCATCAGTGAAAAAAACTATAATATTTTTGGAAAAATCAATAAATTTTTTAAATAATTCCTTAAATACAGTGAAATTCTTTTGAAAATTATTCTTTTAATTTAATTTTAATGCTACAATTTCATTAAGAAATCCAAAAAAATTGTAGAGAAAAATAATTTTCCTAAAATTAAATGTCACATAAAAAAGTTTTCCCAAGAAAAAACAAGAAAAAATCTGTATCCTTTGTAGCCTGTTTTTATAACCCGTAGTTGTGTTATATCCTGGTGTCAATGCGCTGTATATTTTCTAATACTTATTACATACAACAACCATACACACGCACAGAAATATTTTTTACAAATATACACCCGTTGGTTGCACTGTGGGTGGAAGTGAAGAAGTTTTGCTTAGAGAAATTTTAGTTCTAGGTAAACAGACAATTAAGAATAATTTGTCAACGTGTGTTTTTCATTTATTATTTTTCCTGTTTATGTCAATCTCCAATGACAACGAAGGATTTGATTTGCAGGTTTTATTTTTATGATTATTTCGAGGCAGCTTATTTTAAGGGAAATTCTAAAGAAACAGAGGTAGCTGAGCCATAGTCACGAATCTGTGCCTTAATACCACTAAGACACAATGGCTTTATTAAAGCGTAATTATCCAAATCTAACGTTTCTATAATCTGTAAGACTTCTTTGATCAAGAAGGGTAATTTTAAAACATTACGGGGGGTAAACGTTGGAGGTTATTCTCAAAGCCTCCTCAAAGAAATTGACAAAAATCGGGCTTACGCAATCGCATACACGGAATATGCAAGCAACTCTATGAAACTAATCTTAGATATACTATCATGGTCAAGCGGATCATTAGAGCAAATACCTGTTAGAATCCTTTGTTAATATGGTGGTCAATAGGGGCCTGAGAAACATTGGAGCAAAAACCCCAAAAACATTGGAGCAAAAACCCCAAAATCTTCCTGATAGAAGCATTAACAGATGATAAGAGATTAAGATTAAAGGGAATGGAACTGGAACTGGAGGAAGTTAATCTGATGAATGAAAAACCGTTCGAATAAAACGGTGGTTGCGGTGTCTCTAACGAGAGCAAGACGAGATTAGTATAGTGATACGATTCCGGAGTGGATACACAACTATAACAAATTGGTCGAATGGACTCAAATAGATTGAACAGTAGGAGTGAACAGTGAAACCGTCTGAAACACTTTCCTTGTGATTGTCAAGCTTTCTTGGGGTACAAATCCCCTATCCCTTACTACAGAACATCTGTAGTTCAGCAATTACAGTACATTACCCTGGGGGCATGGATTTTAGGCTTTGGTGTTCATTCGAATGGTTAGCATGGCGTCGCATATGATTTCTTGCTCTTCAGGTTATTGCAATGGAACCATTTCCCAATATTACAAATTTTTTAGTCATGAGATCTGTGAAGTCGCCAAACAGTCTATTTCAGGAACTGATTGGAATAATCATAAACTATACTTCAAAGTAGAAGTCTCGCACGAGTTATACAGCTTCTTATGAGGTGGACATTTTGAAGCATTTGCAGAGTAAAACTTAATCGTTTTCTTTATGATCTTTACAATTTAATGCGATCGCGTTTCCATTATCTTGAAAAAATTTTCCACAAAATGCGAATTTGAAACTTATTCTACGCGCAGTATATCCTCGAGTGGCAGATTATAAATATGCTTTAATAGAGTTTGATTTTTCTCTCCCCGCCGCACTCTTTCAGGACAAAATGAAGTCGCCAAACAGTCTATTCAAGGATCTCATTGGACTCATCATAAACTATACTGCAAAGTAGAAGACTCGCACGAGTCATACAGTTTCTTAGTTTGAGATATTTGCAGAGTCAAAGAGTCTATTCCAGGATCTCATTGGACTAATCATACTTTAAAGTAGAAGTCTCGCACGAGTCATACAGCTTCTTATGAGGAGGACATTTTGAGCTATATGCGGAGTAAAACTATCAGATAAGGGGAAGTTACATAATTGTGCAAATGTTGAACCAATTATCGTTACGACAAACATAGGTCTCTTGATCTGATAACGCTTCCCATGAAAGCACAAGACTCTTGGAATATTTGTAAGCTGAATTTCAAAGAAACTCCGATATCGGCCGAGCCTTTACATACTTGGCAATACTTCCAAATGGAAAACTTAGTTAATCATTAGATAAATGCTAGATCGTTTAAGAACATGGTTACTTTTGGAAACTAAATTCGAAATGTTCGGTTCCATATACTGAAAGTTACATCAAGGGAACGCTAGATCTTAGGTAGTGAAGTTATAGATATAATAATGGTTTAAAATGATAAACTATGGTTACGTAATGCAAACGTAGAGCTCTTTTATGGATTGTTAGCTTAATTCGAGACGATCATTTCAATATGTTAATGGTTATATTAAATGAACTTTAAATCGGGCGAGAACATGATTGTTGTCTTTGATTTAGAGATTTAAATACTTCCAAATGCTAATCTAAGGCACGTCAGTGCAAATCGAAAATCGAGACAAAAGGTTCCATAAACTGTAAGATACTTCAAAGAAACGCTAGATCAATCGAGAATACTATGGTAACTTGCTGGTGAAATTCTTGCTCTGCTAAATGTCTTTAATTATAAAGTTACTTTGTTATACGTCCTGTTTATGTAGAGACTTTAAAAGAGGATGAACCACAAACCTTTCAAAACGATAACCTTAAAACATCCTTGAACTTTATGTGATTATTTTCAAGAACCAACTAAAACGTAAGAAATCTTATTCATGCTAGTGACTTTAGAAAGTTTGACAGCAAACTGTTGATGAAAATACTATTATTAGAAAATACCCGAAAATAAGCCACTTCACTCAACCCACTGTGCACATGCGGGTACATACATTACATTAGCAAAGCTTTTCGTCGTATCCTTTTTGATAACTTCGAAAAATTATTGCTTTTTTTGCGCTGTTGATGTTGTTATTGTCGTTTTTGTGTTTCTATAAAAAGCAGAATATTTTCATTCCTGTTATTTTTTTTTTGGATTATTCTTCTGACATTTCTCTCGTTATTGCTGTTGTGTGTGTTATTATTGTTGTTATTTGGTGTGTGTTGTGCATACACCACAATTTCATATAAATTGTATATATAAATACCGTTAGATAGATTCTTTGCTATTTTTTTGTTTGCCTTCAACCTCCTCATCATCGTGATGTTAGGCAAACAGTTGTTGTCGTAATTATTGCCAACATACAACAATAATACAAACTTATACGAATATTTTGTTGTTGTTATTTTTAGGTCAACATTGCACAAAAAATAAAAAAAGGAAAATTTGAAAGAAAATAACAAAATAGAAGAAAATACACAAAAAATAAAACAAAAATATACCTACAAAAAAGTAAAAGAATAAGGGAAAATCAATTTTTTCCTCTGCAACCATTTAAAATCAACTTAGTCTACTCATAAGTGTGTGTGTTCTTTCTAACGTTTGTGTATACGTGTGTGTTTGTTTGAAAGTGTTTAAATTACGTTAAAAACACAAGAACACTTTTTACAATTCCCAGTTATAAAATGCTTTAAAATTAATCATATAAAACGTAGTAAAAAACGAAAAAGAAAAAAAAAATATTTGCAAAATAAATCCCACTCATCTAAAAATAACAAAACAAGTTAAAAATTTTATTCAACCAATATGGCCACATCATCCTCTTCAAACTCCTCATCAAGTCGTTTGGGTAGTGCTTCTCCTTCAACTTCGGTTATATGTCAAGAAGTATTCGATGAGTCTTGTCAACCCTCTGAAGAAGGTAAGTTATTTCAAAATTTTTATACCCTACACCACTTTAGTGGGGAGGGTATATTGGATTTGTGCTGATGTTTGTAACATACCAAAATATTCGTCCTAGACCCACCTTAAAGTATACCAATCGGCTTAGAATCGTTTTCTGAGTCGATTAAGCTATGTCCGTCCGTCCGTCTGGCTGGCTGGCTGTCCATGTAAACCTTGTGCGCAAGGTAAAGGTCGCAATTTTCAAGATAATTGGATGAAATTTGGCACGCACGTTTTATTTGACCTAAGGACGAAGCCTATTGAAAATGGTTAAAATCGGTCCATTATTTCACCTAGCCCCCATACAACAGAACCCCCCGAAAAGGGCTTCTGAGCTCATAATTATGTTAAATATACAGATATATCGATAAAATACGGCATAACTAAGTTTTATAGAAGTCTTGATGACCCTGCCAAATTTCATAAAGATCGGGCCACATTTGACCCTAGCTCCCATACAAAGTCCCCTTCAGAAAATTACTTGGATGTCCCAAATTAGCTTATAAACACAAATATCGCGATGAAATTCAGCACAATAAAATATTATGTCAATATAAATATATTCACAAAATTTTATCGGGCTTGGTCCATATTTGCCCCTAGCCCCCATATGAAGCCTCTTTCAGAAAATTAGTTTTTCATCCATAAATTGCTTAAATGTATCGGAACAAGGGAATATTGAAGATAAATGCTTTATTATGAAAAATAAATCACATTTAATATTCATAACTGGTGTAGGGTATCATATGGTCGGCCACGCCCGACTATAATTTCTTACTTGTTATTATTATTATTGTTGATGATATTCTTTAACTGTAGTTTTAAACATGACTAATATGTTGAGTAGGTCCTTTAATGGACTGATACTTGCAGAATTTGCAGGAGAACTTAATGTTTTTTAAAAACTGATCAAGTTTGATCTCAATCGTACAACTATATGGACCGAACTCTATAGAATTAAATAGAGTAAATAATTTCTGAGATAATAACATATGTCGGATATTATTTTAGTATTAACATATTCAGCGATTTTTAGGATAAAGGATTAAGTAGTGACTTGCAAGTGGGTAAAATTACAAACTGAATCAAATTAAATTATATTTAAAAGTATGTCTTGAGTTGTTGCTTCGTCTATTTTGATGCCATTTTGATGTGTTTCTCTGTGGTCAAAATTAGCCAAAGATGATAAAGACCTTATTTGGCTACACTTTTGGAGGGATGTAGGAGTCCGCGGGATTTCTTATAAGTTCTCGTCAATCGTCCAGTCTTTTGTGTTCTTATTCTGCATCTAAAGAAGGGGGCGTTTTCTATTCCTGCATTGGCCAGGATTTCGCCAACTTATCGGATATACATGGTTTTAAGAAAGGTTAGGAGGGCCTTCTCATTGTAATGATCTTGACAACCTTTAACCACTTGGCATCTAAAGCAGAAAAGCATTAATACCCGCTGGATCTTCTGCTTCAAAGCAGCCATCGATATTTAATGTTTTTAATCGCTTTCTCTAAGAGTTTCACTTTCGAGTTGTAGGACCTGTAGCAGATGTTGACTTTTTCTCTCTGACAAAGGTAGAGAGCACTCAAGGGGGCGTTTTCTATTCCTGAAATGACCAGGAATTCGCCAGCTCCTCGGATATTGTGTTTAAGAAATGCTAGAAGGGCCTTCGCTTTCTCTAAGAGTTTCACTTTCGAGTTGTAGGACCTGTAGCAGATGTCGATGATCCTCGAGTGAGTGAGATCTCTGACTTTGTTCTTAATATTTTACTTTAAAAACCCAAAGTAAATTTTGATGAGGCCTTTTTAGGTGTCTATGGAGGTATATCAAGATTATGTAAGTAAGTGATCGTCATCGATCAGTTGCTGGTGTATGGCCCGGATTTAACTAAGCTTCATAACAGTATCCCATGATAAAGCTGCCCTTAAGCGATCAATGAGCAAATAGAGCGCTTGTAGTCATCAATTTTTCCATCCTTGTTATCCTTTTAAAGTTCATAGACCTCCGCAACCAGTTTTGCATTATACGCATTCATTGCTTTAGATGTTTTCATCGGTGATATAAATGTTTAATCTATTCATTTCCGAGAGGTAGTCAAGTTTATGGTCCAAGTGTAAGCTGTTTTTAGTAGACAGTCTACGGACGTCGGAAATCGGAGTGTCCATGTGATTAGATGTGGTTAATGTAGTCCAAGCGCCATTCAGAACTATGTATATATTTCATACCTGTGGTTTTTCTCTTAGTACTCACTAAGTGTCCATTGATATCTTTGAATACTGGACCAAGGGCCGGTTTTCATTTCACATTTCTATAAACGAAGGAGTTTAGGTAAGAAACAATGAAATTGGATTCATATGCAGACAACTATTCCACTCAATATAAGTCAGAAGTCAGACTTGTCTTGAAATATGAATGATAAAAATTTATCAAAATCTGCCAGTTCACGCTTTAGTAGTGCGTTCTGTGGTTCTCTGTCCAATCGACTTCCCTGGCAATTATTCTTTATCTATCTAGGTTCAAAAGTTATAGTCAATAATGGACTAATCCAGGCTTATGTCCGCTGAAGGTCAAGATTCTCTGGTTTACATTATTATAATTTATCTGATAATTGACTCTTACAAGAAACTTTTCATTTGCAAGTTTTTGCAATTAAAATGTCATTCATTTTATCTAGCAAAAGTTCAATTGCCTTACACGGTTAAAAGTGTTTATACCGGTTGCCCTGGACTGCAATAAACTATCAAATTACTTAGTATACTCATAAATTATTATATACAGAAGTAACTTAAGTAAGATATACCCCTATTAAGGTTTTTTTACAACGTTTTTCAATGTCATTATCATTTACAATAGTTGAGGTGGTATTTTTTATGCGATTTAGTTTTGGAAATATTTTTCAGACATGCAAAGTTTTTAAGGAATATTCGTTTTATTTTAAACTAGAAGAAGAAAAAATTTATAATTTATGGATTTAATCGTAGATAATTGTAGGATGTATTTAGTATAGATATGTATTTTAAAAGAAAAGTTTTTTACACGTGGATAGTCAAAAAGTTGCTAAATATATGATGAATTGAGAAATTACTAAACCAAAAAAGAAACTTGTCAAAAGGTAGAAAGAATTTAGGAAACTTTAATATAAAACCGAGAACGGTTTCTAAAGCCACATAGGGACTGAAAGCAATTGAAAATCCAAACATAAAGAAAACGAATATTAGTTAAATATTGCCAGACCTAAATAAAAGAATATATCATATAACACCTCCAATCCCTTTTCAAATCGTTTACTCTTTTTACTCTAATTACTCTAATTCTTTTCAAACAAAAAATTTGAGAAAATTTCATTGATTTTAATTCAAAATTTAATTGCAAATTATTAACAAATATGCTTAAGAAATGCTCATAATATAAATCTTAAGTTAATTCTTGGTCTATTGATCTAGATTTTGGTATAGTGCCATAAACATAGTTATTTAAAAAAACCCTCAAAGAAAGAATTTAAAAAAGTGTCAGTTGCATTTTTTTTATAATTTACATACTATTGTTAATAAATACAAAAAACTACATATGTATAAGTTTATGTAAGTGGGTAGTAGTATACAGAAATATTACATGGTATACATACTTGAATATAATCATATAGAAAGGGTTTGCCAATGGCACATTTTGGTAATTTAAAACCATCTTGGAAATTTTTACGATTAAGGGGATCAATCAAAATGTCAATTCAGCTACTAAAAATTTAATTCAGCTAAACTTATTTAAACTTAATTTGACAAATATGTTTAAGGTTTACCTGAAATTGCTTTATAAATCTTGATTTTGTTGCGAAAACTGTCATTCAGCTACTTTAATTGCTATTCAGCATGCTTTAGAGGATAAATTTAAGTTATTTTCATACCAGTAATTATTTATAAATATGATTCAGCTAATATAAATTCGAAATTAGCTCTAATCTTTACAATTTATTTGTTAAAAATTTTATTCAGTTATTGAAAACGCTATTTAGCAATTTCCGTACAAGTTATTTATTAAAATGGCAATTCAGCTAATATAAATATAATTCAGCAAGGTTTAAACTTTAAGTTACTGAAAATTTTAATTTAAAGTAACAATTCAGCTACTAAATTAGGCCTATATTGACAAATTGACTGTCATGCAGTGGCTAAAAAATGTTATTCAGCAATTATAAATCTTACTCAGCTAACTTTAAAGAACAAATGTAATATGAATTGCAATATTTCCCTATCAATTTTACTAATAAATGCCATTCAGCTAAAGAAATGTGACCCAGCTAAGCCTTTATAAAGCCTATATTGACAAACATGACTAAAAATGTTATTCAGCTACTAAAAATGTTATTCAGCAAACTTAAGTGAATGAGTTTTATAATTATCAAGCAATTTTCATATCAATTATTCATTAAAAAGACGATTCAGCTAATAAATATGTAATTCAGCAAGTTATATACTTTAAGTTAATGAAATTTTGCCAGAAATATAGTTTAAAATAACAATTCAGCTAGACTTATTTTTATAAAATTTCCTTTAAATTAAATTTTTATAATATTTTCTTTAAATTGTTTAATTCAGTGGCTAAAAATATTATTCAGCTACTAAAAATGTTATTCAGCAAACTTTCAATAATGAATATTCAAGCAATTATTCCTTCAAATTGCGATTCAGCTAATAAAAATGTAATTCAGCAAGGTGTATACTTCGAGTTAGTGAAGTTTTTTTCCGAAAAATGCTTTAAAGTAACAATTCAGCTACTAAATTAGGCTTTAATTGACAAATAAGATTAATTTTATGATATAGTCGCTAAATCTGCTATTCATCTGCTGAAAATCTTTTTCAGCTAACTGTAAAGAACAAATTTAATAATAATTTCAAAATATTCCTGTCAATTATGGCGATTCGTCTATAAAAATTCAATTCAGCCAAATAAATTTAATTCAGCTAAGAATTTTTTAATAAAATTTGCTTC